AAAAAACAAAGAAAAGAATAATATCCAGACAACAGCAAAGTTCTGTTGCTGTTGTGGTACCTGGCACCATTTTTTCTATTAGCCGCTTAATCATCATCTGGAAAGAGAACATTCTAGAGTAATATCATTGAATGTAGCTCTGATAAAGCACAGTCCCTACTATGTATCATAAAGCAGGTACTAGATATTTTACATTCATAGAGGTAAGATACAGTACCGTCCTACATCAGTAATACTAGATTCAGTTTTGGTTTGAAATTTACTTTGTCTGCAAATAAGACTGCTACCCCTGAGGCCCAACAAAGCAAATCAAACAGGCAAGGCAAGAAATTAAAAGGAGAATGTGAAAAAGTAAAAAGAGTCAACAAAAGCCCAATAACATGTCAATAATAAGTCAGTACATATCAGTTATAACCAGCAATGTCAATAGCCTCAACTCACCAATCAAGAGAAACAGACTGGCAAAATGGAATAAGAAGCAAAATCCAACAATATGTTGTATACAAGAAACACACCTAGTGCAAAAAGAAGTCCATAGACGGAAAGTGAAAAGATAGAAAACAATTCTCCATGTGACAGGAGTTTGCTTTCATTTTTAAGTATTGATTTTGCCATTAGTAATGGTAATTTCTACTACTGTCACTAAAGTGAGATCATGATAATTTAAAAATCTACTGGTGGAGGCAGCATATCCTTTGACTCATTAGTTATTCATTGGGCAGCTCTCCTCATATTATTTGAGAAATTATGAGTTGTTTGTTGTTGTTTGGAACTTGGAACATGTTTTCTGAATTATACCTTAAGGGAAAAAAAGATGATCAGGTAGCAAATGGCAGTCAACCAACATTTATTTACTCCTTCACATGACTGAGATGTGGTGTACTTAGGATGAACAAGAATAGAAAAGAATGTTACAAAATAGTGCTAAAGAAAACAGACAATAAAATCTGAAACAATGTCCTTCTTAAGATCTACATTACTCTACAAAGATGCAACAGATCTAAAAAAAATTTTTTTTACAGGTTCTTTCTTCTTAGAAGCACATTATTTGAAAATGGTCCTGTATCTTCAACACAACACAAATGATGGATTGTTTCAGTCACACATAACGCAACAAAATGAAAATATTCAGAAGAATCAGCACAAGCCTATCTTTGGGGGCTGGAATCTGCGAGAGGAACTGGGGAGTAGAATCTATGTCTTCAATAATTCCTTTCTTCCACTCTGCATACGCCTTCTCCTGGTAACAGGAAGTACTATGATGAGAACTGTGCTGAATGTGGGCTGCTATGCTTCCCTTGGGCATTCACCCACTGTTTCTTCTGTACAGCATGTTTGAACGCTTCTCTTGCACCAGCTAGCACCTCAATTAGGCTGCCCCTTCTTCCTTGCCCAATCTATGCCTGGGCTACCTCCTCCCAAACCACATAGATGACATTTCCTAAGGATTACAGAACTCACATTCAGTAGCTTTCCAAAACATGCTAGACGAAACAGTGTTTCCAGCCCAGAGCCAGCATGCTGCCCAGAAAGGCCCAAGACTACCTCTAGGCTTTCCTACCAACTGAACTCAAACTCATCCTGTTGCCTCAAGCATGGCTCTGTTGCCCGGATATGCACTGTTTCCCAGCCTGCTCTCTGGCTCTTAACTTCCCATCCCTGTTTCCCCAGTGGCCCCCCACCTCTTACCCTGTCAAATGTCCATGTCCAAGGGCCCCTCAAACATTCCTGTGCTGCCTCCACCTGAACACCTGCCTTACTGCTTCTTCTAGTGGCCCGGCCCCCTCTGAGGACCTGTGTTCTTTTATTACAACCATCCTGCTGTGTCATCCCCAAGATTATTGTTAAGTGGTTCCAGGAGGCATGGTGAGTACAAAAATGACAAGTACCAAACAAATTGTTTTGGCTGGAATGGGAAGGAAGTCTTGAGCCAATTGTTATCCACAAATTCTAACTTGTGTGTCAAGTACTAAACAAAGGACAAGTACCAAAACTGTTACATCAAAATGCGTTGAGTACCAAGTTAATGAGTTTTAAAGAAGCTGAGTACCAAGAATTTCTTTCCCTCAAACATATCTGGGCTAGTATTTGTGTAGGCAGTGTATCAGGCAATGATATGATTCCTGTTCAAAAGTGGAGCTGGAGAGGACACCAGTGGAGGTGGAGAGGAGATCTTCCACTGCTACTGACAATGGTGGCACATATGAGACAGCAACTAGCCCACCCTGTGAGATATATACAAGAGACTTTACGGGTAAAGCCTCAGAGGCAGTCCTGAATCCATGATTGTCTGAATGACCCAGTGGCCCCTGAAGAGCCCCCTTTCCTGTGATCCACATGAGAAAGGGTGGACATGCTCTGAGAAGAATCAGGGGTAATGGATGGAAATATATTTGCTGAGATAACATGAATGACCTTATAGTATTTTGCAGTACTGTATGGAGTGGACAGAAAACCATATACTTCCAAGCTTCCCAGAAAATGCCATGGTAGGTTCATTCAATCAGGTCACTGCTGGGACCTGAATTAACATCATGTCAAGATTCCCACACAAAACATTAGGCAAAAGGCCTAAGATCAGAAAGTAAGAAACACACCAATCAATCCCAAACTCTTATTACTTTTCTCATCATTTTTTCAAATATGTTAATCTTTCTTGAAATACTACTTTCTCAACTGAATAACTTATGTAATCTTTAAATATATTCTTTAAAAAAATAAAAATGCCTTACCTTTGACCCCTGGTCCACACTTTGGACTGAGAACACAACAGAGCTGAGCCACCTACCTCTTGGTGGAAAGACTGGCTGAGTTCTTTCGGGCTGGCAACAGGATGACCAGATGATGTGCTTAAAAAGCCCGGGTCTGCTGCCTGTTCAGATCTGTGAGACAGGAATGGATGTGCCACACGTTTACAGTACTAAATGACTTACAACAGTCCCACATTTCTAAAGGACTTAACAGCCAAGTTGGAATAAGAAAGCTTATCCAGAGAAGTCTGCAACCTACCATATTCTGGACTAAAGAAAATTTGAGCCCAAATATAATTTTTTAAGCTTTTAGGTAATTTTTGGATAAAAATTTCATTACTAAATGAGCAATCTTAGCTTTGGTTGCACACAGGACACCGTGGGGAGCTGACACTCCCTGAAGAGACTCATGGAATGCAGCCTGGTACTGGTGCATTCTCAAGATGCACAGTGAGTCTCAAGTGCAGCCATGCACCTGGGAAGCATGGTATGTGTGGTCAGCCTCCTGAACTTAAGAAAAAAATTACATCCTCATCTCAAATACGGCACTTGTATTACTTTTTTGCTACAACCTACCTACAATTTTAAAAAATTAAGATACTATCAGGAAAGAGTTAAAAAGTAAGTTTGGATTGCTGTGCAGACTCTGATATTTATTATGCCCAAAGGAACCATTTCCTGATTACAGAAAATGTACAAGATGAGCGTGGAACATTCACTGAACATGAAAAGAAAGAAGCTCTCCAGAATTACTGAATCCTATAAAATGGACTTGAGGCTTATCTTGAAGTGACTCCTAATGGTCAAAGATGGGACAGTTTGAGCAGCAAAATAACAACAATAATGATGATAACTGCAAGGGGCTAAAACAGCTAATTCATAAAAATTCATGAGTTCATTTAAAATGAATAATAAACCAACAAATGAAAACCTTTACATACAACCTTAAAAGGAAAGATACCTTATCACATACTATAACACGGATGAATCTTGATGATATTATGCTATGTGAAATAAGGCAAAGACAAAAAAGAAAATTCCACATGACTGGACACCAATGATGTGCCCAGAGTAGGAAATTTATGGAGACAGAAAGGGGAAGGGGACCTGAGGTAAAGAAGAAATAGAAAGATGTTAAATGAACAGAATTTCAGTTTTGTAAAATGAAAAGGTTTGGAAGATCCGCTGAACAATAATGTGAACATACTTAACATTAGTGAACTGCACAGTTAACAATGGTTAAGATGGTGGTGGCTGAGGCAGGAGAATCAAAAGTTTGAGTCCAGTCTGTGCAACTCAGTTTCTTCCCTGTCTCAAAATAAGAAATAAAAAAAGGGCTGTGGATGTAGCTCAGTGTGTTCAATCCCTAGTACCACTCCCACCACACACACACACACACACACGTTAAAATTGTAAATTTTATTATGTGTTTATTACAAAGACAAAATAATTTAAAATAAAACTTCTGGAAGCTATTAAGGCAAAAACATTTGGAAGCTATTCTGAAAAACTGGTCTGTCAAGGGATTAAATCAAGCATTTATCCTATGTAGTTCAAACAAAACAAAACAAAAACAAAAACTTGTATTTCAGAGTTACAAGTAACCGATGAGTAAAAATATTCCAGTAAGTGCAGAAGAATAGTCAAGCTGGGAAAGCCAGATTAATGAATGGATCTATGAAAAAAATGTGGAACACCTTACAAAGGAGGTACTGGTTTCCAAGGCATTAAATTATGGGCTGATCAGGAATCACACGCTGTTAGAGCAGATGCCAGCAGACATCAGCACCACTGTGACATTCTGCTGCCAAAAACCTGGCCCGGAACAGCACCATACTCCTGGACCTAACCATGAGGTTACAGTATCAAGCAAGAAAGAGAGGAACTGGTCAAGCAACATCACACAGATACAACCAGACAAATCCAGTACAGCAGTGCTCTGGTCAGGTGCTCCAATTCCTTCAACAAACCAATGGTAAGAAGAAATGAAGGGCAGGAATGCTATAAAACTAAAAGAGATTTTAGGAGACCCACTGACTCATTGTAATATGTAGACCTTATTTAGATCCTGATTCAAACAAAACAAATGTAAAAAGAAATGGATTAGGCATTAGATAAACTAATATCTAATTAGATAACAGTATCTAAATAATTCTGTAAAGATATCATACTGTCAGGGCTGGGGATTTAGCTCAACGGTTCGGTGGCCTGCCTTGCAAGTGCAAGGACCCAAGTTCAATCCCCGGTACCAAAAAAAAAAAAAAGATATCATATTGTCTTTATATGTTAGTGATACAAGTACTTGTAAGCAAAATTGTATGATATTTGATTTAAACTACCTAAGAAAAGTGTATGGGTTGAGGGAAAGAGATAAAACAAGAATGGCAAAATGTGAGCAGTTGGTAGGTCTGAGAGACAGGCACATGAGGCTTCAAAGGTTTGAAAATCTTCAAAATAAAAAAGAACTTGAAAGTAAAAGATTGAAAAAAGAGCATTAATGTTTGCCATTTTAAAACCTAGAATGAGAGATGGAGGATGGATAGACAGACACATACAGAAGGGCCATGAAACAACCATGGGGGAATCTTGTGGGCAATAGATGATCACGGTATGGTTCTTTTTGCTCTTATTCGTGTTTGACATTTTCCCAAGTGAAACGTTTGGAAGAGTTATGGGTCCAGCTAAGTGGTAGGGGACTTGTCTAGCATACAGATCCCCAGCAGCAAGAAAACAAAAGCAAACAACATTAAATGTTTTGGGGAAAAGTAAGTCTAGGTGCACTTCAGAATGTTCTTCAATAAATCTTAATTTCTATATTTGCCTGACCCAATTTTAGTTTTTCCCAAGATCTGAATAAGATGGATGTCACTGGAGTCCCTACCTTATTCAAAAGTTTCTAAGGATGATTCTAAGACTTCAACCCCCTTGATAAAAAGTCCTGTAGCAACCTGCCTTTCTTGCTTCCTACCATTCTACAGTGATGTCAAAACCAACACCCAGGTCCTATGTTCCAATGCTACATCCACTACTTGAAGTCTCACTAGATCTCTCTACAGGAAAATGCCCTGGCTGTTTCCCAGCAAATGCTAATCAATTTGGTGGGCTTATTTCTTTAGTCAATAAATAAATTGTGTTTCTAGCCAGGAAACACGTAGAGATTAAATGATTAAAATTAGTAAGGTGAATTAACTGATGAGAACAGTCTCTCTGGTGACTAATACATTTGATTTGCTGAAGAGACAGAGCCAAGGTGAGATTCTAGTTGAAATTACTCCCACCAATGGCAACTGCCTTGTGGGTCCTGGTGTGAGATCTACCTTAGGTTTGCTCTTAAGTACTGTATCTATTGCCCATAAAAGAGCAAAATCAATAGCGAAGAGTTTAGGAAGGTACTGCATTTACGATCTATGACTGTTGCTCAGCTAAGTCAAGACCCACGGAACAGAGCCCCAGCTTCTTTCAGACAGGGCTATCCTTGAACAGGGTTCCACCCACAGCTCTACGAAAACTCAACAAATCAGGACATCGGCAAAGGGGTAAAAGAATTTAAAGGAGCTTTTTTTCCCTTTTGTTACCTTTACCATTGGAAAACATTTAATATCAATACCACAGAAAAAACAGTTTGGTGTCAGGTAATTTATATACTCCTATAATTTAATATATAACAAAAGTACTTTAATCTATAAATAATTTCATATACCTGAAATGATTTCTATCAGAAACTACAATTTAAATATATCAGCATTTCCTAACTGCAACTGATTTACAACAGACTGATAGTTTAACCAATATTTTAAATCATACAAAATAATAAGTGTCCTAAATTCTGACCATAGGTAGAATAAAACATAGTTTTTACACACTGTATTCCAAACAATATGAAGCTGATTCAATTTTTCAGCCTGAGTATAAGACCATAATTATTTCTGAAAATAGCCACTAATAGAGACAATTAGTTGCACCTGGAAAAAATATGACAAACGATGAGTAGTCTTGTTTTTCATACATGATAAAACTACTTAATAAAGTATGTTTTCCTAAAAGCAATAATGAGCAAAACTTTTAATCAACTACCCAAATGACATGAATCATATTTTAGTAATTTATAATTGCTTAAAACAATGTCTTTCACCTAATAATAGCATGTTCTTCCTACGAAAGTCTCTGAACACTTAATCCTTGGTGTAACATAAATCAATAATGATGTCAGCGATGGGTTTCTTGTTTTTTCTAAGATGACCCATTTTGTGAACAGGAGCAGAAAAGTACTCAAATTATTTTCTAGGCAAGCGCAGACTTGGGGGCAGGGGTTCCACTGTACAGATAAGGTGAGCAGACAGCTGTGGCTGCCATGGTTGGGTCAGGGAAAGACAGAGGGCTGCTGTACCCACACATGCCTCTACTCCACAGGCTTTAAGGACTTCCTCACTTCCTCCAGTCTGCACCTCTAACCCCAGCCAGGCTTAGAATTCTATGTCATCAGAGTCATTAACTACTGAAGAGCAAAACAGACCACTGCCCTGAGCCAGGGCTTCGACAGTGGCTTATCAAATTGGCTGGTTGACTGCTTCCTTCAGGGAGAGCCACAGAGCAACAAGGACCATTTCTAGAAGTTCCAGCAAGAACCCTGATGCTGAGGGGTGTAGCAGGTACTGGTACAAGGGCGGCGGTGGGGGTGGGGGGGAAGGCTGGTGATTAAACTACATTCATAGAATCCAGGTCTCAATCACTTCTTCGCCTTCTGGGTAAGATCAAGTGTAGAACCCGTGTCTCAAAACCTGGGTGCTTGTCTCTCAGAGGCCACAAACACTTGGCACTTTTTGCCAGGGTAGAACACAAACCAGTAACAGTGCGATTACAAAGATCAACATCTCTGGTGACTTCATATACATCAATTGTCATTGTAACAGAGCACAGTGCTGAGTGTAGACACCATTTCTGACTTCATTATCTGGCTTTAAAAAATGACTGTGGTAAAGAAATGATATAAAAAACCCCAGATCACTAATTTAAAAGTTTGTGCTGAAGAAGGATAATTTCTAATGGGAGGCTGATCTCTACATTAACTGTAGATCAACAGCATGTAAAATGCTACCTTCCATCATGGAGGTTAATACTCTATTATGAATGGT